ACAAACAGTAACATATTTACATATCATAAAGGTTATTTCTGTTAATTCATTCGCAGGATGCATAGACAAATTAATTTTCAGCATCTCTTTATTAATGCCAGGTAACATAAATCAGTATAAATTGTATGATAAAGGAGCAAAATGGAAAACTTAATTTTTTTTCGACTTTCCTTATGAAATATGAAGAGGTGATTAGCACATGGTTTGTTTTTCATTTTTTCATAAATCACTTGATAACAAGTTAAGTGATATCAGTTTTTCTTTGAACCTTTAAAGTACCGTTGGGCGTTAGGAATTATCTCGTCTAACGGTATAATTCCTGCTGAAATCTCATCTGACTCGACTGTCATCTCTTTCGCCACGAAACGTTTCATTTCGGTTCCTGTTCTTGTTTCAAAGCCTCACCTTCAGGAACATTTGATTTTTTATATATCAGCGAGTTCCTTATTTGACAATTCATCCCCACGTGAGTCCATCATATGGCTGTTATGACACGACAGCACCCTTCATAATTATATGCTCTGTTGACGGTGAGAGACTGAGATTACCTCTTTTGGCCGTTACGCCTTGTTCAACTTCATGTTTTTTTAATAATTTTAATTTTCTTATCTGCAGCAACAATTTTGGTACGTTTAAGAATGTGTTCCAGCCTTGATTCTACTCTACCGCGGTTCATTCACACATTAAAAATCACTGATGTGTACAAATACAAATACACAGTGCGTCTTGAGACTGAGTTAGACGCCCCCAGTGATCGCATGGTCTCTCTGTCTTACAGAAGACCGTGGTTGGGTGACGCGAGAGTAACACAAGCGTGCTTAGTAATACGGTAATAAGTTGGAAATTTTTCCATCGCCCATTCAGGCTAATTTGCATGAGTTCGAAATTTATGCCAGTGGGCATCTGTCTATGCATATCTGTGGATGGTGTTATTTGAGTTGGCATCAAAACAGTCTTTTTTTCACCCAGAGCAGAACTGCGTCCATGCAGCACTGGTTCCTGTAATATCATGCGCAATGTCGTTTGACCAGTACCCTGGGCGACCAGAAGCCAGCAGAAGTGTCAGAAATAGTTATGCTTGCAGGTGATATCAAAATCTGGTATCCTTTTTGTAAAGCCAAAGAGCGGAGTTTGTTTTTATGCTTCGGCACAAGAAAACGTAGTTTTGAAATTCTACTGACTGATGCATGTTGCTGCGATTACATGATCAGACTACATTAGAAAAAAAAGAGTTCGTTGAAGACCCCTTTTCAAAGGACCGTGAACCTCTACATAATCAAACAATTGTTAACATAATCAAACTGATTGCACCTGGAAGCAAGTAAACAATTGTTATTATTTACAGTCATTAGTTGCTAAGCGAGGTAAATATTATGACGACAGTAATCAATCAGGCAAGAAACCACGTTTAATACGAAGGCTTTCTGAAGTCTATTAGGATGAAGGTCTTTGGGCAATAAGACCTACGGTCTGAACAATTTGCTAAGCGACGAAGTTTTCGACGATCTGCTGGTTGTCCATTGTGAGGGTGAGGCACTTAGGACATATGCCATCAGAATAACCTGCCCCACCATAAAGAAGAACTGATGCGCAATCAGAATCATGACTCTTACCATGCGCTGACAAGAAAGAAACGAGTCTGATAGGAAAGGGGCTCCTCGATGAATGGCTGTGGCATAAAATCAGCAAGCATTTGCGAGACGAAGAACTTTTCCGCAAATATCGTTAGGTGAATTTTGTGATTGCAGTGATTAATAACATTATCATGTGCATTTTCATAACCGGTATTCCTTTCAGGTATCTTAGCCATTCATCTACTTGATACGTGTTCTGTAATCACAGTTTTGCAACAGTTACGCATGCTTCGCGGGCTAGATTACAAAGCGTGACAACGTCACTCTTTTCCGAAGGAAAAGAGAGCCTGCTACCGTTGAAATGGCAATCTTCCTCACGCTTTCATAATCAGTTGATTCCTGGTCCTCTTTTTTCATTAAGTTAATAACCTAAGGCAATGAGAACGCTGATTTCCATTTGCAAAGCCGTAGCTAGGAGTGCCTTATTTTAAAAGCACTGTTAACAGCAGCTGACTGACTGGAACTAAAACCCAGGGCCACTCGGTTCAACAACCGAGATTCAACAACCCTGATTTAAGACAACATCTGGTAAATTCCTTGCTAAACAGAATTCGTGGTGAAGACAAGGATCACTTCTCGGTCGGAAATAGCATTCTCGAATATCTGGGCAATAACTTTCCGATTGGCCTCATGTTGAGTAACATTGTGGAGGATGTCACTATTTTCTTGCACACGGTCACATGTCCAAAAGTCCCTTTTAGTGATATCTTGATCCCTATAGCGACAGTTCACATGAGAAGACATTTCCGAAAATTGAGTATTGGTTCTTGTGTTTGTCCTCATGCTGAAAGTAGCATCAGTTACTGTATATTTGCCAGATGATTGACATTTGCAGTGCTTCGATCGTGTCTCACATGCCTTTTTCATGGCAGAGAGGCGTGTTAGTTTTCGAAGGCTATTTCTGTCGTTCGCAACCGTTCGTACGCTCAGAGCCAGAAGGCCTCCTTCTGGACAGTGCTGCCGGATGAGTAGCTGTCTTGTG